GTAGAGACGGGGTTTCACCATGTTGACCAGGATGGTCTCGATCTCTTGACCTCGTGATCCACCCGCCTCGGCCTCCCACAGTGCTGGGATTACAGGCTTGAGCCACCGCGCCCGGCCAGGATTTCTTGATTTCTATTGAGAAATCCCCATCCTGCCCTTGCTTTCTGTTCCTAGGCCCTGGTTTGTATAAAACACAAATAAGGCATAGGTAAAAATCTAAGAACAGAAAGGGCCAAGCTAAGGGAATCCCTTCTAGGGATTTACATCAGAGCTGGTGACATAGTTAAGATATTATGTTAGAGAACGTGGAAGCTTGTGAATGAGGAGACATCTACCTGGGGTCCCCAGCAAGTCAGCAATAAGACAAAGGTGAGACCCAAGATGTTCGGCCCCTATCCCACGCACTCCATATAGGGCCACCAAAGACCTTCCCTATCTGGGTCCCCTATCATTCTTTCTCATCTCTTTCCATTCCATACATCTAGTTCTACCTAGATTCTCAATGTTCTCCAAACATGCCCTTGAATGAAATATGCCTCTTTGTGCACACTCTTTTCCCACTTATCTACCAGTGGGCTTAACGTCTACTCATCCCTCAAGGCCCACTGAAATGTTTTCTTTTCTGGAACAAAAGTCTAAACTTAGTTTGTCCAGAACCCAATTATCTCTCCTTTCTCTATGTCCTCTATGTTCTCTACATTGATTTTAACATTTATTACCCTCCTCTATAATTGTCTCTAATTATCTTAGTTCTCACTATACTCTATTTTTCTCCTGGGCAGGAATTATTTCTACTTCCCTTTTGTCCCCAGGGCCTAGAAAGGTGTCCGGCGCTCAGCTGGCACTCAATAAATATCACCAACTAACCAGTTGTCATGACTTACTGATCCTGGCTGATGACCTTGAAAAGAAACTCTGTTACTAGGGAATTTCCAGCAGGCAGAGTTATCAAGAAGGACAGGGGCAAATGGTGCCTGAGGTAGGAATCCTGTAAGAAAAAGATGCCATAGGACACTATGCTCAAGGCCATTATAGGCCCTCTGCACTTGTATTCTCTCTCCCTGAAATGCTCTTCCCCAAATATCAGAAGGCTCTCTCCTCCTTCAGACCTTTACTCAGAAGCCACCTTCCCAGTGACTTCCGTGGCCCCCCAATCTAAAATAAAATACCTCCCTTGCAAACAGTTTATTTCCACTTATCAGATTTATTTTTCTCCTCAGTATTTACTAAAATCTTAAAACTACATATTTTAATTATCTATGTTCTTTATTGTTTACATCTCTCAGAATGAAGGCTGCATGAAAAGAGGAACTTTTTTGATCTGTTTTGTTTACTACTGTATACCCGCTACTAAGAATAGTGATAGACATATACTAAGGCACTCAATAGGTATTTGTTGAATGAATGAAAAAGGTAGTCATTTCCAAGAGGTAAAGTTTACTCTTTAATGAAAAATTTTATAAGAAGCAGTGCTACTTGGCAATATAATCACATTCAGTATGCACAGTACACGACCTCTTGAACAATTCTTATCCAGTCTTCACATCAGCCCAGGATAAGAGGTAGGCTGGGGAGAGATTATGAGGCTGGTTGATGAAGAAACTGAGTCCAGAAAGAGGAAAAGGACTTCCCCAAACCCACATATCTGGCCAGGATAGTACTGGAACTGTGGATGCCTGCTAGCCCTGGAAGAGGCTGGTAAGTGATGGAGCTTAATAGGAATTGGGTTTGAAGGATCTCTGTTGCCAGAAAGCATGAGTATTTCTAAAGGGGAAGCTGAGTCAGAGGTTACTAGAACAGAGGCGTCAGCAAAGGAATGGGAGAGGTGAAAAGGCTGACCTCTAAGGGATCCTGGCCCAGGCCTGAGGGAAGCTGATTCCCCCAGCAGCAGAATGCTGTGCCTGAGGCTGTCATTCAAGTCTGTACATAATCTCCAGTATCAGAGAGAACTCAACAGGCAACCTTAAGAGAACAGTGAGTTCACTGCAAGTCTGCAGGGTTTGGCTTCCCGCGACTGTGAGGTCTTCCAGGGCAGCGACCATATTCATAGATTTATCCCCAGTTTCTAGGAGAGCCTGGAATATAGTAATAGTTGAACTCAAATATTTTGTTCAGAGCAAAAATTAAAGAAGAATGAATGTGCTCAAATGGAAAACTGAAGCTGAGAGAGCACAGACAGGAGGGGCGTAACATCAACCAGCGATTCTGGGGTAGAAACAGATTAGTTTTCCTGGGATGCAGTAGGGCAAACGGCCCTCGTACTAAGAAGTTGCTATCAGTTCTTCAGAAGGGGTTAACAAGCAAAAGGCGTCTGGGAACAAAGGGACGGGTTAAATCGAGCTGTCGGGGCGGGGCCAGGATGGAGAGGCCGATTGGCTGAGACTCAAGGCGGGGCAGATAGGCGCGGCACAATTCCTTCCCTAACAATAAGGCTAAGGTATGTCAACGTCACATCCGGTTTAGTGGGCGGGAGCGGGGAAAAACAAAAGGAGACGAAGGACGCATGCGTTTGGTGAGTCCCGGATTCTGGTGGGTTCTTCCGCTCAGGCTGGGTGAAGCGCTTCCGGGTCGCCGCTGGCGGTCGCCTCCCCGCGCGGTAAGTACAGAAGGAAGGCTGCGGCAGTCTCCTTGCCCCTTCATTCCTTCTTACCCCAGAGAAACCCATTTCCTTTGACCCGACTCTTCTGGAGCTCCATATTCAGAGTCCTTAACCCGTAAAGATCTCCAGCTCATTGGCTGCTTCCTCGAGACTAAGCCCCACCCCGTCACACAAGATCCGTCATTCATTGGTGCCACTTCCTGTCACCCAGGATTTCTTTCAGCTAATTGGTCCTACACAGGCCCCGCTTTTTTAGCGTTTAGCAACCCTATAAGGCCAAATTTCTGTCTGAGTCCCGCCCCTACTTTCTTTCTGTTGGTCAACTGCATGGTCATTATCGTAATAAGCAAAGAATGGGCGGTGGCTTTGCGGCGGTGGGTTGGGCTTTCGGAGCCAAAAACTCTGGCCTGTCAGTACTTCTTGGACAAGAGGGTGTTTGCCCTTGTGCCTATTACGAGGGTTGGAAAGCTGAGATGCAGGGAAGGGCAGCGGCTGGCCCTGGATCGGTCAGATAAATTAGGACAAAAGCAGGATCAGGCATCGATTCTTTTCTCCTGCTTATCTCTAACGCCGGCCTGGATCCCTTTCACCGGGGAATTCTAAGCCCCGACTCACTGTGTGACCTAAAGCCAGTCTCTGCCTGTCGCTGGGCCTCAGTTTGCCTGTCCTCAGTTTAATTCAGATTATCTGGCACTCCTGGTCGGCTCTTTTAGCCCTTCAAACAAAGCTGATTGTACTCTTATATGTTAGTTCATCCATTCAGTCTTCCATCTACTTACTTATCTACTTATTCATGCCTCCTAGAATGTCTTACTGAACCCTGCTTGCATATGCTTACAATCCCCCCACCCCGACATTTGGCTGTGATTCATTAGAGAGGTGGTTAGTGTCCTAAATTTTTGACACTGGGTAGGTGTGGTATAGACCATCATAAAGGGGCAAAAAAAGCAGGTTTTAGTGTATAGAAGAGGTAGGGATAATTTCAGTAGAACCCTGCTACCTCTAATTTTGTATAATTTCATAATGCCAGTCTGCATTCTGGATTTCTATTCCTACACTTGACTCCCATTCCCCTCCCTCCTTGAACAGCCTGCAAACAGCTTTATCCATTATTTACTTAATTATCAGAATAACTTTTGAGAGTGGTATAATTGTTATTATCCCCATTTTACAGATGAAGACACTGAGGCCCAGAGAGGTTAAGTGACTCAGCCAAGGTCAAAGAGCTAGTAAGTGGTGGAGCCAGGACTCAAACCCAGGTCTGTCTGATTCCTAGTGGGGAGGGCTGCTTCCCTGGTATCTTCTACCCTATCCCTAAATCAAATTACAACCAAATAAAAATGAAAACAAAACACATTCACTTGACCCTTTCCCTCAGTCTAGGAGCCATGTCCACTTTGTTCCCCTCACTCTTCCCTCGTGTGACTGAGACACTGTGGTTTAATCTGGATCGACCCTGTGTGGAAGAGACAGAGCTGCAGCAGCAGGAACAGCAGCATCAGGCCTGGGTGAGTGAGCACCTAGCACAGCACAGAGACCCCCTTCAGTGGGCCATGACCGAGCCTTACTGTGGAGATCTGCCCAGGAAGAGCTTTCGCCCTGAGCTGGGAATAATCAGTCTGGGAGCCAGGGAGCCAAGGTTTTCATCTTGTAGTACCCTAATTTACAGGGGGACCATGGGACTTCTGGGCCAGATTAGAGCTCAGGCTGCTCACACTCAGCCCAAGCTCTTTTCCCTAAAGCATAGGAAATAATTTTGACTATTAATTGAGGATCTAGTAGATGACACTTTCTAGGCTGGTAAGTCTCTCACTTCATCCTCAACATAATTATATGAGAAAACCAAGGCTCCGAAAGTTTAATTATTTGGATCAAGTTCATAAATGGCAGATGACAAGAAAGAGATTGAATCTTCCTAAGAACTGGGAGGAAGCTTCTCCCCGACACGTGTAGGTCTTCTGGGTAGAATGGGCCAGTCCTATGCCCCTGACCTGCCCTACTTGGGCTTTGGCCTTGTTCCTCCATGCCTTTGCCCACAGCTCCAAAGCATCGCAGAGAAAGACAACAACCTGGTTCCTATTGGCAAGCCAGCATCAGAGGTGAGTGGCTCCAGCAGGTGGGGCCTTTGTGGGTCCCAGGGTGGATCGCGGGTCTGCTCTAATTCTGAATATCCTGTCTCTGACCTAGAGCAGTTGTGGTTCTCAGATCTGGGTGAAGGCCGAAAAGGGGAGATAGAAGGGGTGGGCACTGGGCCTAGCACTAAGGTCCTGCAGAACATGCACCAGCCTGCTAGATTCAAGGAGGGCAGGGTTGGGGAGTGGGGGTGGGGGTCATTCATTGGCCCTAGAGAGAGGCTTCAAGTGGGTCAATTCTTGAACTGGTTCACACAGGCCTGTAGGGCTTACAGGCTTTCATCTGTCCACCAGCACTATGATGACGAGGAGGAAGAAGATGATGAAGACGATGAGGATAGTGAAGAAGACTCAGAGGATGATGAGGACATGCAGGACATGGACGAGATGAATGACTACAATGAGTCACCTGATGATGGAGAGGTCAATGAGGTAGACAAGGGGTATAGGGGAGGGCCTCTGTTCCTGGGCCCCTGCTTCTGACCTGATTGATGGCCAAGGGGTACAGAAACCCTGGATCCAGCCAGGGGCAGGATCTGGGGCTGAGGCTGGCTGAGGCTCCTCCCCACCCACACCCAGCCTCCTCTCCAGGTGGACATGGAAGGCAACGAACAGGATCAGGACCAGTGGATGATCTAGGTAGACAAGGCAGGGTGGCCTCAGGGAGATTCCAGGCCAGCCCAACCTACCCTGCATCCCAACCCCCAACCCCTGCCCACAGAACCAGCTGATGGCCCCAGTGCCTGAAAGTGCCCTTGGGTACCTCCTCAGTTGCTGCCAGGATCTGGTGTCCTTGGCCCCTCCCAGGCCATCAGTCTGCACTTGAAATCCCCAGGGCCTGAGCCCCACTTCACCTTCCTGGCCAGTACCTCATCCCTTGGTTGCCAGGTCTGGTTTCTTTCTAAGTTTCTTTAATAAAGACAAAGGAGTGATTTTTCCCCATGTCTATTCCCTGTTTGTTGGTGGGGCCCAGAGGAGTCCAGCATCTTCTCTTGGGCTTTGGGGAAAGGGCACTCAAGGGGTATCAGGCAAACCTAATTGGCTATGTGGGCCTGGGTTGGGGAAGGCCAGGGCATTCCTGGCCCTGGGCCCAGGGTTCTGTACCATTTCGTCTGTCCCAGTGTGTATCCAGCTATTCCTGCAGGGCCTCTGACTCACTGTCTTCCGCTTCCTGTGATCCCACCCAGCATGGCATGGGTTGAGGACGAGAGGCTTTCTGAGGCCAAGTGCTAGAAGGCCCTTGGAGCTCTCCCAGCCAACTTCCTTAGTGTTAAATCTAAGAGAGAAGATTACATCTCAGAGCAAGGCAAGGATTCCCTTGGAGTCACTCAGCAAATCAGTGACAGAGCTGGGTTGGGAGCTCAGGCTTCTTGCTGTCAGTCCATGGTTCTCTCTGGAAAGAGGGGGCCTAGTGAGACCAAGCAATCTGATAGAAGTTGACACTTCAGGTCAGTGTAGAGGCTGAAAGGGGTCAGAGGTGGAAAGAGAGCCTCCCCAGCCCTAAACTCAGCATGTGTCAGGGCCCAAACAGGAAAGGGAGGGGATATTCTGAGGTCCTTGCTTGGGTGGGGGTGGGAATGGGAGTGGGAGTGGACATCAGTAAGTACCCCTGGGCCTGGACCTCAGCCTGGTCCAGCATAGGTGAGCTGAGCTATGCCATCCTTAATAGCAGGGAAGTCTGGAAGGCCAGTGTGGTGGAGGCGGCAGCGGTAATGGCCACAGCTCTTAGCATATTGCAAGAAGCGGGGTGCACCAGGGAAGAGCACATGGTCAGCCAGCACAGTGGCACCTGCTGGCAGTAGAGCATGGGCTTCCAGCAGTTGCAGGTCCCTCAGGTAACATCGTGGCCGGTGTGCCAGGAGCACCAGGTCTGCTCGATTCAGCTGATGCTGGGTACGTAAGCACGGGATCACCTCCTCTGAGCTGCCCACGATGAGCTCCACCTGTAGGGGTAGGAGGAGCTGGACGTGAGGGCTGGGGGAATTGTTCTCTCACTGGAGACCCCACCAAGATCTGGCTTACTTCATGCCAGGTCCTGGTTTAGCTCCCCACGAGTGTTCTCACATTTCCTCTGACCTCAGACCCCAAGAAGTCAGGATCAGTACTGTGATTTCCATTCTGCCTGTGAAGAAGCTGAGGTTTGGAGGATACATGCTTTGCTCAATGTCACATAGCTAAGAAGAGGCAGAGCAAGAGTTGGACTCAAATTTGCTGGGTTCCAGAGACCTTCCTTTTAGCTGTTTCTTTTGTCATCCAGCAGAAAATAATGTGCAGATGACTTGGGACAGGAGAGCAGGAGCTCACACACCATCCAGCATCACAGTCCCCAGAGTGGAGCTGCTTCCTTCTCCTTAGATGAGAGTCCCTCACAAGGGATGCCTGGCTAGGGCAAGGCCTGGGGTGACAGAGAAGAGATCTGGTTGGGGAGATGGGAGGCTGACCGTTCGCTCATCAAAGCCGGCCAGGCGGATGAGTTTTTCAGCCACTGCTGCCGTGCGTGGGTCCCGCTCCACAGTGAGAAGGCGACCCCCAGGGGGCAGGGCTCGGGCAATAAGCAGGGTAGAGTATCCACAGTAGGTTCCCAATTCCAGCACACAAGCAGGGGCCTTCTCCTCCACCAGCCGCATCAGGATCTGACCTATGAGGGGAGATGGCTGTTGCAGAAGACATGGGAGATGGATGCAGGGCCCCTGATAGAAAGAGATCTCAAATGCCCGCCTGCCTCACTGAAGCTCTCAACCAGCTGAGGTCTCATCTGTCCCTTGTACCATAGCCCCAGCTGCCCTCCTGGTCCCCCCGTCTCCTCTAGTGTAGTCTTCACACCAGCCCTGAAATCTTTCCAACAAATCTGACCGTATTACTCTTTGACTCCAGTGAGCTGAAGGCCTTTGGGATTGAACTTGGGATCCTCAGCCTGGCATTCAGAACCTTGGACCTTATCCTATCCTACCTTTCCAGGTTCATCTCTCAGTACTTCCCACCTATGGCCTGTATCACAGCCATTCCAAACAACTGTGCCCAAAATCCATCATGCTGTCTCATTGCTTCTTGCCACATTTGTGTATGTGGCTGGCTTTTCCCTTCCCACCCCCATCTCCATTTGCCTGGCCAACTCAAAACTAATCCTTCCAGACTCAGTTCAAATGTTGCTTTCTCTAGGAGGTCCCAGGCAGAAACAACCACCCTATCTTTCAGATTTATGAAAAGTCTCCGTTAGAATTTGTAGTTTCATTCCCCTTTTATTGCTTATTGAATATATTTGTGATCTTAGAATTGGATGAATTTCTGTTTTTTTTGTTGTTGTTGTTTTTTAGACTGGGTCTTGCTCTGTTGCCCAGGCTGGAGTGCAGTAGTGTGATCACGGCTCACTGCTGCCTCGACCACCCAGGCTCAGGCAATCCTCCCACCTGAGCCTGCCAAGTAGCTGGGATCACAGTTGCTCACCACCACACGCAGCTAATTTTTAAAATTTTTTTGTAGAAATGGGGGTCTCGGGCCGGGCGTGGTGGCTCACACCTGTAATCCCAGCACTTTGGGAGGCCGAGGTGGGTGGATCACAAGGTCAAGAGATTGGGACCATCCTGGTCAACATGGTGAAACCCCGTCTCTACTAAATACAAAAAATTAGCTGGGCATGGCGGCACGTGCCTGTAATCCCAGCTACTCAGGAGGCTGAGGCAGGAGAATTGCCTGAACCCAGGAGGCGGAGGTTGCGGTGAGCAGAGATCGCGCCATCGCACTCTAGCCT